CTGAGTTTTTCTAGTTTTTTGCTATAACAAAGCTACTACATTCATATATAAGTTTTTGGAAGAACGCAAGTTTTCATTTATCTGGGATCAATGCCCAAGAGTATGACTGCTGAGTCACATAGCAAATGAATGTTTAGTTTTATAAAAAACTGGCAATCTGCTCCTTAGAGTAGTTATACCATCATATATTTCCAGTTTCTTCATATCCTCACTAGCATTTGGTGTTGTCATTATTATTTCTTATTTTGTTTTTAATCGTCACCCAAGGAGTGAGGATAATTTTTCCATTGATTTTTTAGAGAGTAGAAGGGAGGGGGAGAGAGAAACATTGATGTGAGAGACACATTAATTGGTTGCCTCCCACACACGCCCGGTCCTGAAACCCAGGTACGTGCTTTTGAACCAGAAATGGAACCCATGACCCTCCAGTGCACAGGCTGACACTCTACCACTCAGCCACACTGGCCAGGGCTGTCATTTTTTATTTAAGCCATTCTGATAGATGTGTTGTGGTATTTCATTGTGGTTTTAATTTGCATTTCCCTAGTGGCTAATGATGTTGAATATCTTTTGCTCATTTTTTAATTCAACTGTTTGGGTTTCTTACTTACTGTAGAGTTTTGAGAGTTCTTTACATATTTTAGACATTAGTCATTTGTCATACATGTGGATTCCTAATTTATTTTCAGTGCAATTAAACATTACAGATACAGTTGAAGCACCCTAACTTTACCCCCAAACTATTCTTTTTTTTAAAAAAAAATACATTTTATTGATTTTTTTACAGAGAGGGAGAGGGAAAGAGAGTCAGAAACATCGATGAGAGAGAAACATAGATCAGCTGCCTCCTGCACACCTCCTACTGGGGATGTGCATGCAACCAAGGTACATGCCCTTGACCGGAATCGAACCCGGGACCCTTCAGTCCGCAGGCCGATGCTCCCTCCACTGAGCCAAACCGGTTAGGGCCCCTCAAACTATTCTTTATTCTCCCTCCTCCCTCTCTCCCCAGAATTCATTATGATGAATTCATTATTATTCTCATGAACATATTTTTTTAATCCTCACCCAAGGATGTTTTTCCATTGATTTTTAGAGAGAGTAGAAGAAAGAGGGAAAGACAGAGAGAAATATCGATGTAAGAGAAACATATTGATTGGTTACCTCCTGCACGAGCCCTAACCAGGGCCCGGGCTGGGGAGAAGCCCCTGCACGAGGTACGTGCCCTTGACCGGAATTCAATCCGGGACCCTTTGGTCCGCAGGCTGATGCTCTATCCACTGAGCCAAACCAGATAGGGCTCTAATGAATATTTTATAAGTTTATTTCATACATATGTATCCATAAGTAATAAAATATAGTTTGTATACATTTATAAATTTTATTTTTTAAAGTAGCGCTTGGCCTGGCCGGTGTCACTCAATGGTCAAATGTGGACCTATGAACCAGGATGTCACAGTTCAATTCCCGGTCAGGGCACATGCCTGGGTTGTGGGCTCGATCCCCACTAGGGGGCGTGCAGGAGGCAGCCAATCAATGATTCTCACTGATGTTTCTATCTCTCCTTCTCCCTTCCTCTCTGAAATCAATAAAAAAAAAATTTTTTTTAAAGCAAAATTAAACAACATATACTAGAGCTGCTTTTAAAAAATATATTATTATTTTATTGATTTCTGAGAGGAAGGGAATGGGAGAAAGAGATAGAAACATCAATGATAAGAGAGAATCATTGATTGGCAGCCTCCTGCACGCCCACACTGGAGATCCAGCTCTGCAACCTGGACATGTGCTCTGACCAGGAATTGAACAGTGACCTCCTGCTTCATAGGTCGACACTCAACCACTGAGCCATGCCAGCTGGGCTCATTTTGCTTTTCAATGTTAAGTTTTTTAGTATTTAAAATTTACCTAAATAAATGAGGCCCTAGTAAAATCCTCACCTGAGGACATGCTTAGAGAGAGAGAGAAAAACATGGATGTGAGAAACATCAATCGCCTTCAATGTGCACCCTGACTAGGGATCAAACCCGCAATCCAGGTATGTACTCTCACCAGGAGTCAAACAGGCCCACCTTTTGGTGCACGGGACGACACTCCAACCAACCGAGCCACTCTGGCCAGGCTAGTTGATTTGTTTTAACGGCTGTGTAGGATTCCACAGCAAAAACATACAATTTAATAATCCATTCTCCAGTTCAACACTTTTTAGGCATCAATTTGTAGATGTTAAAAGCAATGCTGCGATTTCTACTTCTGGCCAAGATGGTGTGACACAGGCTGGATTTACCCTCCCACCTGAAACAATAAAACCAGACAAAACACATGAAACAAGGGTCTCAGGACACTGGACACCAAGCACAAAGGACAGTGATCCCAGAGGGATAAAAGACAATGGGATGAGCTCCACAACTGCCCTCATTTATTGCTTTAGAAGAGTTTCTAGGACATGGTGTGGGGGAAATGAGAGGGAGCCAGGCAGACTCCTGAGTTGAAGGGATGGGTGAGGGTACAGTGAGACAAAGGCAGCTAGGTTTCAAAAAGGATAGAGTACCATAGAAGTGAGAATGCAGAAAGGTGGATATAATTTAAAAAGACAGATAATAAGTGTTAAAGGCGCATGTAGGGAAATTGGAATCTTCATACACTGCTGATGGGAATGGAAAAGAGCCTGGAAGTTCCTTATGAAGTTAAACACAGTTACAACACAATCCAGCAATTTCACTGCTAGATATATACCCAAGAGAACTGAAAACATTATCTCCACACAAAAATTTGTACATGAATGTTCATAGCAACATTATTCATTATAGTCAAAAAGTGGAAACAACCCAAATGTCCACCAACTGATGACTAAACAAACAAACGTACATCTATAAAATGAAATACTGTACAACTATAAAAAGGAATTTAGTGCCCTGGCCAGGTAGCTCAGTTGGTTAGAGTGTTGTCCCAATACACCAACGTTGTGGGTTTGATGGTCAGGGCACATGCAGGAGTCAACCAATAAATGCATGAATGGGTGGAACAACAAATTGATGTCTCTCTCTCTCCCTCTACCTTCTTCTCTCTCAGAAAATCAATAATAATAAAAAGGAATGAAGTACTGATATATGTTACAACATAGATGAAAGTTGAAAACATTAAGCTAAGTGAAGCAAGCCAGTCATAAAAGGTAATATATTGTATGATTCCATTTATATGAAAAGTCCAGAAAAGACTTGAAGGAGAATGGAAACAGAACGTAGATAAATGGTTTCCTAGGGCTGAGGAGAGAGGAAAATAAGGAGTAACTGCTAATAGGTAGGGGGGGGGTTTCTTTTTAGGGTGATGAAAATGTTCTAATTTTAGATTATAGTGATAGCTGCACAACTCTGAATATACTAAAACCATTGAATTGTATACTTTAAATGGGTAAATTTAGGATATGTGTAATATGTTTCAATAAAGATGTTAAAGCCCTGACCGGAGTAGCTTAGTTGGCTGAGAAATATTTCATTTAATTCTCAGAACATTCCTATGAAATCCACATTATCCCCATCCTATCAGAAAGAAGTAACTGAGACTCAGAAAGACTAAATAAACCTGCCCAACGTCACAAAATAAATAGAAGAGTAATGATTAAAACCTAGGTCTAACTCCAATGCCCAGTACACCCCCCTTTCCACCACACCAAGGATGGTTAAGTAGGTTTCAACTCTCATGCCAACTTCATTTTATTGATGGTGGTTACCTATAACATTCTGTTTCATCAGTAAAGACTTTTACTTAATTATTGTCTGCCACAAGTACCACATATGAAAACAGCAGCACACATATAAGCCAAGTATTTATCATATCCATCTATAATAATAAAAGTGTAACATGCTAATTAGACCGGATGTCCTTCCGGAAGCTGGATGCTGCAGCCGCGGCAGCCGCCATGGCTGGCCGCAAGGGAGGGATCCAGGCAGCTGCCACGGCTGGGAAGGCCTACTGTTGCACAAATTTCATGCATCAGGCCTCTAGTATATTATCATAATCAGACTAATAAATCTGAATTTATTGGCCTGTGAGGGTAACCATATTTTTGTACTTTGAAGAAACAAGAGCTGGGAAGTGGACATGGCAGGGAAACAGCAAAAATCTACAAACCTTAGGAAAGTCTCACAAAAGTCTTTGGCATCATGAAAATTTCTTCTAAATATCCCTCAAGAATGTTCATGGCTTTAGCCAGTTTTGCTCAGTAGATAGAGCATCAACCTGTGGACTCAAGAGTCCTGGGTTCGATTCCAGTCAAGGGCACCTACCTTGTTTGCAGACTCAATCCCTGGCCCTGGACGGGATGGGTGCAGGAGGCAACCAATAGTTGTGTCTCTTACATGGATGTTTCTATCTGTTTCTCCCCTTCCTTTCCACCCTCTTTAAAAAAAAAAAAAAAAAAAAAAAAAAATTTTCAAAAAGAATGTTCATAACTCTGTATAGCACTGAATCAGTCATATCAGAGAAGGGAGAATGTTATAAATAGCAGCCTCGCTAGATATTTATTCCATAGTAGGCCTAATGAAGTTTCTCTAATGCCAATTCATGTACGTGACAAACAATCATACAAATAAATTCTATCTCAGCAGTGCTTCAGAGATGAGTAGGCTCATGACCTCTACTTATAACTGTGTACAGCTGAATGAATGTCCATTTGTCTCCCACCAAAGTGGAAGCAAGTTGCACTTCCAGGTCTTGGCAAAGATCACAGAGCAATGGTCCTGTTCTGCACATCAGATAGCTGAGCGAATGAGATATCTGAGCTCCTTCCAAGCTACCTAATGCTTCCTGCAGCCAATCATTTCCAGCAATTAACTCTGCAACCTCTCTATTTCAGTTCCCTAAAGAAACTCTCATACACACAAACCAAACTGCAAAACAAATTCTTCAAGTGGGGGTAAAAGCCCCTAAGGGAAAACAAAATGGTTATAGAACAGGTTTTATCTTAAATGCTAAAAGAATGAAATTATCTCCAAATGTACCATTTTATTGGATCATCTTAGAGGTTGCTTCTACACAGTCCTACAGGTAGCAATCTCTGGATTCAGCAACTGGTGGAATAGAAAAGGGTATGGATAAGGGCTTGAGAAGAATATGCATCAATGTGAATACCTAAGCTCTATTAATCACTTCTCATTAAGAGATTTAGATAACATGGAACAAAAAGAAACCACTCTGATCTCTGCATAAGATAGAAACATGCAGGACATATCAGATCCTAAAGTAAATGCTTATTACACTAGAGGCCCGGTGCACAGATTCGTGCATCGGTGGCATCCCTTGGCCTGGCCTACGCCCTCTCACAATCCGGGACCCCTCAGGGGATGTCAGACTGCCAGTTTCAGCACGATCCCCAGAGGGACTCCACTGGTGCACAAACCCGTGCACCAGGCCTCTAGTATGCATATAAGATCTTTGGTTAATCTCTTCCCGCCCTCCCCACCCCTTTTCTCTGAGATCCATCATTCTGTTCCATGTTTCCATGCCTGTGTGTTCAGCGTCTGGCCCTTGGTGGTCAGTGCGCGTCATAGCTACCGGACGAACAGTCTCTTAGGCTTTTATATATATACTAGATGCCCAGTGCACAACATTTGTGCACGGGGGGTGGGGGGGCTCAGCCTGGCCTGCGCCCTCTCGCAGTCTGGGACCCCTTGGGGGATGCCCACCTGCCGGAGGTGGGGAAGGCTCCCACCACCGCGGCTGTGCTCGCCAGCTGTGAGCCCAGCTTCTGGCTGAGGCTCCCCTTGTGGGAGCGCACTGACCACCAGGGGGCAGCTCCTGCATTGAACGTCTGCCCCCTGGTGGTCAGTGTGCATCATAGTGACCGGTCATTCTGCTGTTCAGTTGATTTGCATATTAGGGTTTTATTATATAGGATAGATTATCGCTGGCAAGATTATGAACCAGAGGTTAGAAATAAATCTGGCAGCCCTGGCTGGTGCGGATCAGCTGGTTGAGTGTCATCCAATACTACAAAAGGTCACCGGTTTGCCCTAACCGGTTTGGCTCAGTGGATAGAGCGTCGGCCTGTGGACTGAAGGGTCCCAGGTTCAATTCCAGTCAAGGGCATGTACCTTGGTTGCGGGCACATCCCCAATAGGGGGTGTGCAGGAAGCAGCTGACAGATGTTTCTCTCTCATAGATGTTTCTCTCTCATCGATGTTTCTAACTCTCTATTCCTCTCCCTTCCTCTCTGTAAAAAAATCATTACAATATATTTAAAAAAAAAAAAAAAAAAAAGGTCGCCGGTTTGATTTCCACTCAGGGCACATGCCCGGGTTGCTGGCAGATTGTTGCCAGCTCAGGAGGCAGCTGATCATTGATGTTTCTCTCTCCCTCTTCCTTCCTCTCTGTCTAAAATCAATAAAAACATATTTTTAAAAACAAGAAAAAGGCCCAGCTGGTGTTGTTCAGTGGTGGAGTGTCGACCTATGAACCAGGAGGTCACAGTTAGATTCTTGGTTAGGGCACATGCCCGGGTTGCGGGCTTGATCCTGAGTAGGTGTGTGCAGGAAGCAGAAGATCAATAATTCTTTCCCATCATTAATGTTTCTCTCTCTCTCCCTCTCCCTTCCTCTCTGAAATCAATACAAATATTTAAAAACAAAAAACAAAGACAATATACTAATGACCAATAAATACATGAAAAATGCTCAATGTCATTAGTCATCAAAGAACTGCAAATCAAAACCACAATGGCCTGGCCGGAGTGGCTCAGTGGTTGAGCATCAACCTATGAACCCTCTCTCTCCCTTCCTCTAGAAATCAATAAAAATATATATTAAAAAAACAACACACGCAATAAGATAGCAATTCACACCCACTAGGATGGCTATTATCAAAAAGAAAATGACAAGTGTTGACAAGACTGTGGAAATAGTAGAACCCTAGTATATTGCTAGTGGGAGTGTAAAATGGTACAGTTGCTTTGGAAAATGGTTTGGTGGTTCCTTAAAAAGTTCGAATAATCAAAAACAGAATTATCATATGACCCAGGAATTCCATTCATAGATAAATATCCAAAAGAATTGAAAACAGGTATTCAAACAAAAACTTGTACAAAAATGTTCCTGGTAGCATTATTCACAATAGCCAAAAAGGTAGAAACCCAAATGTCCATCAACTGATGAATGGATAAGCAAAATGTGATATACAGTAAGTCCTCACTTAACAACATCAGTAAGTTCTTGGAAACTGCAACTTTAAAAAAATGTTTTTTATTGATTTTAGAGAGAGATAGGAAGGAAGAGAGAGAGAAACTTTGATTTGTTGTCCCATTTATTTATGCATTCATTGGTTGGTTCTTATAATGTGCCCTGACCAGGAATCAAACCCACAACCTTGGCATACTGGAATGGCACTCCAACCAACTGATCTACTCAGCCAGAGCAGGAAACTGCAATTTTATAATGAAACCAATTTTGCCATAGGCTAATTGATAAACATAAGTTTCTACGGCATATTTTTGGTCACAAAACATTACCAAACTTCTAAATTAAGACCTAATATTAACACTGAGATAAATAAGCTATCCATATTTTTTAAAGATTAATAAAAATGAGTAAGATAATTATTTTCCAACCTGCTTATTCCAGTTCAGGATTGAGAGTGGCCAGAGCTTATTCCTGCAGCTCAAGGCACAAGAGGGAGCCAACCACCCTGGACAGAATGCCCTTCCATTGTAGCAAGTATTCACACCCATACTCAGACCAAGATAATTTAGATACACCAATTAACCTAACATGCACATATTTGGGGTGTGGAAGGAAACCAGAATGCCCAGAGAAAATGCATGCAGACACAGGGAGAACATGCAAACTCCACACAGTGGTCCTGGCCAGAAATCTTTTTTTTTCTTCTTTTTCTCGTCAATGTAATAATGACACAACGTTATTTGAGGACTGCTGTATTCCTACAGTAGAATATTACACAGGCAAAAAAAGGAGTAAAGTACTGATACATGCTACAACGGGGATGAAACTCAAAAACATTATGCTAAGTGGAAGTAGCCAGATACAAAAGGTCACACTTGTATAATTATATTTATACTAGAGGCCCGGTGCACAAATATGTGCACAGGTGGGATCCCTCTGAGTGGCCTGCAGGTATCGGGCCAAAACCACAGTCCAACCTCCTACCTGCCGCTCCTGCTCATCCTGGCCCCACTGTGCCTGCTGTGGGCTTGTGACCAACCAGTCCCAATCGGGAGAGGCTCACAGCAGCGCTCACCAGCCATAAGCCCTGCCTCTGGCGCCCTCCCAAGGGGAGTGGCCTGCGGGATCAGGCTGAAACCGGTTCTCTGGTGCAGGCCAGGCTGAGGGAGCCCACCAGTGCACGATCAGGCTGGGGAGGGACCACGTGAGGGCTCCAGGTCGTGTCAGGTCCATCTCGCTCAGTCCTGATTGGCCTGACCCCAGTAGCAAGCTAACCTACCGGTCGAGCATCTGCTCCCCAGTGGTCAGTGTACGTCATAGTGAGCAGTTGAGCAGCCTTAGCATATCATTAGCATATTACACTTTGATTGGTTGTTCGGTCCTGCAGTTTGGTCTATTTGCATATTGCCCTTTTATTATATAGGAGGATAAACTATCCAGGATAGATAAATCCATCAAGACAAAAAACAGCTTAGTTAGTAGTTGCCAAGTGCTGGGAAATGGAGAAATGGGGAATGACTGCTTAATGTGTACAAGTTCCCTTTTGGGGTGATGAAAATATTTTGGAATTTGATTTAGGTGATGGTTGCACAACACTGTGAAACATACTAAATGCCACTGGATTGCACAACTTAAAATGTTTAATTATATGTTATATGAATTTTACCTCATTTAAAAAAAACACACAACACAGTAGTTTCTAAATGTTTGTTGCAATGTGAAATCTGATACCTTATAATTATTATAATTATTAAAATACATTGGCCTATCTTACACTATGAATGGATCTTTTACCCAAAAATTATTTTGTTACATCTCAAGCATTGGTCATTTGAAAAATTCTGGTCCACTAAGTCATGTAGATTTCAATGTTGACATATTTCATTATACAATAGTTTTAAAAATCACATTTGTGCAAGATGGCGGTGTAGGTAAATGCTGGTACTTGCGGCCTTCCACAACCACATCAAAATTACAACTAAAATACAGAACCACCATCATTCAGAACCACATGAAACCTGGCTGAATGGAAGTTCTGCAACTACAAAAGTAAAGAACAAAGCACATTTAGACTGGTAGGAGGAGCGGGCACATTTAGACTGGTAGGAGGAGCGGGGGCACGGAAGGGGCTGGTTGGACACACATGTGTGGCATGTTTTTAATTGGAAGGGATATCTCCACTGCAGAGGCCCCCGTTGAGAAGCAAGGGGTCCCAGACCCACACCAGACCCCTAGCCCAGGGTTCCAGAGCTGGGAAGAGAAAGTCCCATAACTTAAGGCTGTAAAAACCAGCAGGGATTGTGACTGAGTGACCCAGAAGCTGCTGGAGACCCAGGCAGTCCCTCTTAAAGGGCTGGCACAGGGACTTACTCGGATTCGATCCCTCTGAGTTCCAGTGTTAGGTGGCGGCACTGGGGGGAACCAGAGACATACCGGGAGGAACTGGATTGTCTGGCATGGGGCAGGAACTTGGTGGTGGCTTTCTCCCAGATGGAGGTGCTCACAGGGGTCATTGTTCCTTATGTTGGGACCTCCCCAGTCCCAGAGCTGACTGGCAGCCATATCTGAGTTTCCTTCAGCAGGGCTCACACTGTTCACTCCATCCTGGTGATTCCCTGAGACCCCACCCCACCCAACTTGCAGCCCCAAGCTGTTTGCAGCAGCTTTTCCAAATGAATAGCCTGTCCTGGCTCAGGCTTCAGGCTTTCCTAAAATCTCTTAAACAAGCAGCAGCTGGCATCAGCGTGCCTTATACCTATCAATAAGAGGCCCAAGACCCAGCACTAGCACCAGCCTGCCTTGCTTCACAACTTGGCCTTGTCTGGGCACTTCCAAGCCCAATACAAATAGCAACCATCTGCAGATCGCTTGGCCCCAGACAGTGGCTGACTTTGCAC